TCTTCTTGAATCTTGACGTCAACTATTTCACGGCACCTCCTTTCTAACACCTTTGCGTAGACTTTACCCGAGGGGTTCAATAAGGTAATACTCTGATAATTGGAGCACACTCTGTTCAACGAATCCCGTTCTCCAGTCTACTGGTGTCTTCGTCGTAGCCATTGCAGTTTGGTAGACACGTGTTAGCCACAGCATGCCTTATTGGCCTAAAGCCTGGGCCATTTCAGGGCGGATTTCATCAGTACCAGGAGCAAGATGAACAATGTCGTTAATTATAATGATTAATCAAGACGAATGATAGACAATGATAAACAGGGTTTGAATTTTGCAGCGCAGGTTAAAGGCGTCTTGACTATACCAGTGCTTAAACACCATTAGATCAATGCAAGTTCTGATTCTGTTTCATTCTCCAGTCACCAGGCATCGGTTTGGCTACTAATATAGATGCTGATTTAACACCGTATGGCATCGATTTCTGTGTATTTTAAGGGAACCTTTGGTGCGGTACTAATCCTCATAATATTGCTATCATTCAAGAGTAGTATATATTTGTTTTGAAAGCAGTAACAACAATTAGATGATGCATAGAACCTATGGCCTTTAATCTCCTGCTCACACAGTACGTCAAACAGCTGAAAGATAGGTGGCCTTGTCGGGATTCGAATCTACTGTCTGTCGATGGCGACTTGAAAACTGTACTCTCAGATTTATCTGGAGGGCTTTTACTCCGGGTACCACGCTGATACCGAAAATTAAGAAGATTGTTCCAGCGTTGGTTGCCGAGGTGTAGACGCAACAAAGCAAATGGTTCAGGGAACATCACGTCAGGCCAAAAAACGTCTGACCGATGTTCTTGCACGTATCACACGGACCCTTCGGTTCCAAGAAGGAATTAAGTTTCGACAGAGAACCATACTGAGCATGTACAGCAACCTTTGTCATGAAGAATGTCTGCTTATTAAGCCATTTGGCTGTTGCATTTGCACAAAACATAAAATATTTTGAAAAATATTTCAAAAAAATATTTTGAA